GCTGCTGAAGGAAAGGTGCAGAGCACAGTACTGGCCAAAGCCCAGTTCTCACCACTTACATCTCCAATGTCACCAGAGAGACAGGGCCCATATTTCTGCCCTGTGTTGAAGCAAAACGTTTAGGGTTTCTTTACAAAGAAGAAAAAGATAGGCTCGGAAGGCCCAGGTTTGATTTCCTTTTGCAGGTTATTTCTAACAACTGACCCCACCGGGCTCCTATGTGCCTCTGGGGTTGGAAGGGGTGGGGGGTTCACATAGGACTGGGAGGGACCATCCCAGTGGAAGAAAATTCAGGCTCTACCTATTTTTATTTTCCCATGGATACAGGAGAAGAGAGATAACAGATCAGATGCCTCTCCTGCATGACTTCAAAGGCTAGGTCTCCTGCCCGCTTCACTAGACTAGCAGGTGTTTGCATCACTGGTGTCAGTTTGGGCCCCTGCCTAATATAGGTAGGGAGGAGCAGCTGTGTCAAGAGAAACAACCCAGATTGAAAATCCCATCACATAGTCCTCTTCCATGGAAACTATTGTGTAGCCACTAGAGGAACAGGAAGGTTGAGAGAAACAGGTGAGTGTCCTGAAGACCATTTCTCAGGTAAATTGAGCTTCATAGGAAACTGGAAGAGGGGTGAGATCAAGTATACAGGGCAGTGTGCACCAATTAATTAAGAAAGCTGCTATTTGAACATGCAAAACTCTGGGTAAGTACCAGAAAGAGTTGTTTGAAATTTTTGGATTACAGAAAAAAAATCCCAGTAAATAATTGACTTTGTCCCCTTAAACCAGCAAACCCTCCCCCCTCCCCAATAACCCTGCTGTTCTTCTAGTTTAAGTTGAAATCAGAAATTTTGATTTTGAAAACTTTACCCCTTTTTGCCACTAATTGCCACAGTAAGGAGGATGGCAGGGGTAAACGTTGGGTCCCTTATTATATTTTCATTCCCTTTTCTCTCCCTCCCTCCCCCTTCCCCTCTGGTTAAAACTTCTTCTAAGATAAGGAAGTTTGGAAAACCTACTGCAAGGGAAAGGAGACATGGAAAAGTGGGGGGAAAAGAGACTTTGCCATCATTATTCCTACACTTGCTTTTGAGAGAGTAGGAAAGGACAATGCCATACAAGACAAAGACGACAAATCAATACTAAAATACATTTAAAAAACAAACGAACTGGATAATCTTTTAAACAAATGACTTGGGAAGTTCAACGCTTGTCCCACGACTTTGTCCAGCCTGTCCAGCATTCAGCAGGAGGTGGCCTTACCCTGCTGGGTGAAGCATTGCAACTCAGCAGCTAGGAAAAGAGAGGGGGATCCAGGCAGCTGGCCCCATGGGGCCAACCACTACTATGGTTCATCACCAAAGATGGTGTTAGACCCCTGGGGTCCTATGCTGAGCTGAGATATGGGCCCCCTCTTCCCACACTCATACACAGGATGACTTGCACTATAGGCATCACCCCATAGCCTGAAGCAACAGGTCTTGGTCCCCGCTCCTAACACTAGCTCTGGCTCCTTCAACCCCAGTGTGAGGCTCTCGGTGACCGAGATCAATAGTCAGCAGTGAAACAAGTGGAAGCCGTCCGATCACAGACTGTCCAGGCCTCCATTTTAACAAGCAGTCAGCACTAGGCACTTCAGAAGACGGTGTCTAGAGTGCTGGAGAGAATAATCATGGGATAATCTGCTTGAAGAGGTGTCTCCTTCAGCTCATGAGCCTGAGGTCACACCCTGACGCATGATGGTATCTGTCTCTTCCTTCCAATGGGCAAGAGGGGCTTGCTGTCACTCAAAATAACCCTACCACACCACAGCCATGATGGGTACAGGCCTGTACTGCCTGTGGGCACCTTGTGCCTCATTGAAGGAATGAGATGAGTCTCCCCTTCCCAGGCTCTGTGGTCTCTCACCCATGAGGTGGCATTAAGGTGCTCCATGCTGTGCGGCAAGCCTGGTTAGTAAGCAAGCCCTGTTCTTCCTGAATCACTGAGTCCCTGTACTCGTGCCCCTCAGGGGGAAGGCTGCACAGACCATGGGCTGAGCGCCAGAGAAGCAGCATCTTAGTGCAGGCACTGACTTGCCATGACAAGGCAGCTACCCTTCTCCAAGCATGGGAAGCCAGGATCTTCTCAGACACGTGCCCTGGGCCCCTGAACACATTGTGCCCTGGCTGAGGGCCCTACTTTTCCATGAATGTCCCTACCTGTGGGCGCACGGTCATTGACAGACTCCTACACTGCGCTTGTTTGCCTGGGACCCCAGTTCTTAGAGAAGGCTGAGGGCAAGGATCAGTGACAGAAGATGCCCAGCTACCGCCCTGTGTGTGGGGGCTAAATGATGGGAAGCAGGCTTCTTGCCCAGTGAAAGCAAGAAGCGCCATACACACCTCACCCAGGCAGGGGCCTCTTCTCAGCCTCAGCCACATCCACATCCACATCCACATCCACATCCACATCCACATCCACATCCACATCCACGCACTAAGCCTGATTCCACACTCACTCCTCCCATGGGACTCCTGTTGGTTTTCCTCCCCAGGCTGTTTCTGATGTACTCAGGGCTGAGCTAGTGGAGGATCAGGTGCATTGCCTGCTCACCTGTACAGCCCCACCCCAGGGCAGGTCACTCCCAAGCACCCCCTTCCCCTAGCTGATCTGCCCACTTCCAAGCCCAGTCACTGCCCTCCACACTGGGTCAGCAACCTAACTGGGCAAAGTGTTGTTGAAGTCAGTCCAGCTGATGCTGCAGCCTGGTCTAAGTTTATTGAGGGAGCCCATTCTTCCACCCCCATTAGAACAGGCTTTAGTCCCCTGGGGCTGGGGTGGAGCAGACCAGGGCGGCTGGCATGTGAGCACTGACTCATTCTGGGGAACCCAGTCTCTCCCCCTCTCTCCAGCTGCGGCCAATCAGAAGTGCTGCAAAATTTTAATTCTCACCTTCCAAGCTGATTGAGTGGAGCCCAAGGGAGACACGGTTCTTGTCTTTGTTCCAGTTTCTCTCCTTAACCATGCAGTACCCTTGCTTGAGGCATGTCCTTCCTCACTGCAGAGCCATGGGTTGGGGCTTGAAGGAGGAGGCTGGTAGTCAGGGCTGCCAGGGTCCCACCCTTGCCTTGGCTTCTGACTAGTTGTGTGACTGTAGTCCAGTCATAGCAGCTCCGCAGGCCCACCCACACCCGAATCCAGTGCAAGCTGGGCAAACACCAGTCCAAGCTCCCTCCTCCCCTTTTTCCCCTGCACCCCTAGCCCCATAGGTGCAGTGATGCAGCCTCTCTTGCTGGATCCACTCCAAATTCGAGCTCCATCCCCCACCCTCCTGACCTAACAGCTAATGTCTGTTGAGTCTGGAGGATCAGTCTAACTCATGGTGCTTTCTGTAAACTGCCATAAGTTAGACTGGGGAGCTGCACTTCTGTCTGTGCCTGGAGACACTTAAACTTGCCCCCTGACTTCCAGGAGTCATCTAGAGGGCCTCCAGCACCTGGAAGATGGAAAGCCCTAAGGTAGGGTTTATAGCTATTCCTCAGGCACCATAACAGGGGTGCAAACTGAGATGGGGAGGTGGAATTACAGGGGCCAAGGCCTGGGGAACAGGACACTTCTCCCAGATCCAAGCCCTTCTCTCCAATTTTTCAGCCAGGTGAAGTTGTGCAGATCCTAGCTGGGTTGAATCACATTTGAGTAAAATTGTAGGCTGTCTCAAGGCCTTTACTGAGTGCCAAACATACAGTACCTTCTGCTGCCCCACTCCCTGTGCTGGGAATGGGCTGTCAGGTTATCTGAACTGCTGTTGAGCCTGTGCTGAGTAACTCTGGAAGGGGTACATGCCAGCACACTCACCTCTTCTAGATGATTTGAGATTAGCAGTGACAAGCTCCCCCCACCACCTGTTAGAGCTATTATCCCAAACTCTGCTCTAAGTAACAGCAACCTGTGTCTTTGCTGCATGCTTTGATAGGAGCAGACGTGGGATGCATGAGTCAGAGTCCTTCATTCAGGGCACTGGAGAAGCGTAATGAATATTCTGGTACCCCCCAGAGAACTGAGGGTTGAGGTATACCAGGGGTGAGGGAAAGGCATAAAGTGATTCCTATTTCAGAGGGAACAGAGGTGCAATGAGGACCAGGGCATGTTTACACACAGCCTCATACTACTTAAATCAGAACGAGCCTCTCTGTGGATGGTTCTACTTTAGGCTAAGGGGAGGATTGGTTCAGCTTTAACCTGTTCACACTTGATCTAAGCTAACTGGAAACTGCAACTCAGCCTGGAATAGGAACAGTCAGATAAGTGTTTGCAGTAGCTCAATAAATGCACCCTGTCAGTTGTACTAGGGATAATTTTCCACAAGGACTCTCTGTGGGACTCACTGGGGAAGCCCACTGTTGAGCCAGAAGCCTGAACCCATATCTCCTGAGTCCCAGCCCAGCACCCTCACCACAAGCCTCTCTTCCTACATCAGTCAGTGCCTCCTTTCAGTGCCCCTGGTTCTTTTCCTATTGGTTTCCTTCTGCTCCTTGTGCCGCACCTTTATATCCTTCAGATCCCTCACTTCTGCTGCGCTCCCCAGTGGCAGATACCAGCCAAAGCTTGAGTCTGTGAAACACACCCAAATTACAGCAAGTGCTGGTCATCTCATAGAATCATAGTAATCATAGAAAATGAGGGTTGGAAGGGACCCCAGGAGGTCATCTGGTCCAACCCCTGCTCAAAGCAGGACCAGCCCCAACTAGACCATCCCAACCAGGGCTTTGAGCCGGGCTGTAAAAACCACCAAGGATGGACTCTCTGGATGGTGGTATCCTGCTGGGTCGAGCCAGTGAGTTGGTGTCCATGGGCCTCGGTGTCATGCCAACAGGCAGAATGACATGGTGTGGCTATCCCGGGCCGGGATGCTCAACGTGGAGCAGGAATGAGATCCCTCCCCCTGACCTCTGCCACTGTCTTGCTCTGAGCAGCCCCTGCAGGTGTGTGCAGAGGAAGGAAACGCAGGGGAAGTCCCAACCAAGACATTTATTTTATTTAATAATAAAAAAACCCCAAAACAGACATAACTTCCTGAAAACAACTTCCTACCTCATAATTTCACAGAAATTAGCTTGGAAACCTTGTTTGTCCTCCCTGCTCCCATTCCTGCCTCAGGCCCTGCCCTGTGCCCTCCCCGAGGGCAAAGCCATCTCCCCAGCTCTCCTGAGGGCTGTGACAGAAGTGCCAATGCTCAGAGAGGGGGGCAGCCTAGCCTGCCCTGTCCTCGCCCCTTGACCATGGTGAGCCTGGGCTAGTAGCTGAATGGTCCCTGCTCACCTCTTCCCCTTCTCCATGCCACAGGGGTACAGCAGTGTCAGCTGGCATGGCTGGCTGATGATTTCTCTCCCTGTGCTGGGCGCAAGAAGATGGGTCCTGGCCTTTGCCAGGTTTGCTACACAAAATTCGGCCTCTCCCATGCTGTTCCTCGCTGACACCGTGCTCCCACTGCACTGGCTTCCTTTGTACATGGCAGTGCTGACCTTATTCCGAGAGGTCCTGTCCCTCCTGCCTCAAGGCTGCCCTCCTCCTCTGTCTCTCAAGAGAGCTAGCAGCAGCTGATTTCACACAGTCCAGCTCAACTTCAGACCTGCAGCTGGTCAGAGGCTGCTAGGTTTGGTTTCTGTGCCTCTGAAATCCCCCACACCAGAGCAGATGCCACTGGGGCTCTGTATGTGCCATGTAACGTGACAATAAATCTCCCCACCCCCAGAAGACACCAACCTGCCTGCTCACCCCCTGCTGGAGCCCTGTGCCACAGCTGGTGTCTGAATTATGCCCAGGCAATGGAGGCCTTTGGTGTATTCGAGAAAAGATGAGACAGATGAGAGGAGGTCTTAGAGCATGGCATGGAGGGCACAAGGAGGGGCAAGCTGGGTCTCTGTCAGGGGCCCTCATGACCGGTCTTCACCATGCTCCTTCCAGCTAGACTCATGAGAGATGCCCAATGAATATGTATTCCAGTTGAGGACTAGGCCACTGCCTGACTCCTGGACACAGCAAAAGGACCCACCGTGCCAGTCTGGCCTGGGTACCCCCTCACTAACAGTCCTGGGAGCTGCTCAGAGTATCTGGACCCCAGTCTTATGCTGATGTAGATCCAGGGCCTGGAAATTTCAGACTAAGAAAGCCCCTGATCCACAGGGTATGGGACCTGATTACCAAGGAGCAGCGAATATCCACTGGCACTAGATCAGCCCTGCCCTGCATGCATCCTCCCCTCAGAGCACCACAGGGCAGAGAACTGCCCTGCTCACAGACCAGCCCAACTTGCCATTGACCTTCCAAGGACCCACGCTCTCATCATGAGCAGCCATGCTGGGAAGCTTCCTCTGGGACTCAGCAAGGGTCCTGTCTCCCTTGGGAAACCTGCAGGAAGAGGGACACAGCATGTACCATTCACCCCCAGCCTCCTAGAGAGTTGGGTAGATTCATTTTCACCAGCCACATGAAGGAAGCGTGCACGGATCTCATATGGTCCACGAGGGGACACAGAGGTGAACAGAAACAGCAGGCAGGCTCAAGCGGGTCTGTGAGATAGGGTTCCTCCTAGCTGCCATGTACCTTAGGCTGGGTCTTCAAGTTCAGGAAGGGACATGAGCTGCCAGGCTGAGAGCCCCGTTTCCCTCTCCTCTTCACAGGGCATCCCAGGGCTGCCACCAGCTTGCCTCATGTCCAGGCCCTGCATCTACAAGGTGGGGCTCACTCTGGGCCATGTTTCACTGCTCCACTCCCTGAGGGGCCAGAGGCAGCCCAGGGCAGGGGTTCACCTCCCTCTGGCAGGAACCCTGGTGCCCCAGTGCTAATGAGTTAATAAATTCATTTCTGACTAAGAAATTAGACCCTTAAGAAAAATCACCACCCCCCAAAGTAACCACAGTTTGTTTATCAGCTCTGCCAAAATCCCTGGCTCGCAGGGCCCTTTACTCCTGGCCTTCAGTGTGGTGTCAGAAGCATGTGCGGCAGTGTGGAGATGACTCTCAAGGCAGCAAAGCCCCGGTGGCCGGCTCTGCTGAAAGCCCTCCTCCTCCCTGCCCTAACCGGGGCACAAAGGGGTTCTGAGGGTGCAGCTGGTGACAGGGCCCAGGGCTTAGTCTTTTGGTGTCTTCTTGCTGCGCGAGTTCCACATGCCGCGCTTAGAATGGTAGTAATGGTAAAAGTTCCTGAGTCGCAGGCGCTCCACCTCCAACCCGCTCTGAAGGACCCTGCAGTGACAGGGGAGACAAGGAGAGGGAGACTGAAGTTCAGCTCAGGAGAAAGACAAAGCAGAGGGGAATCTGGAGAACAGACCCTTGGTGTTCCTCCAATTTAGGACGCTGTTATTCTTTTTCGAATGTTGATCGGGGTTGCCTAATACCTACTCAGCCTAGCAGACTGAGGAGCAACTCTCTTGGTGGTATAGCTCTGATGCTCTGCAGCCCAGATGCATTCAAGCAAATTCATGGCACATGTCCCTGAAACCTCCAAGGGGTCTTCTAGCAAAACCAGTGAAGACCAGGCTTGGCACGTATCTGAGGTGAATGTCAAATGATCCCCCACTCCTGCCACCATATTTCAGGTTTAATTTATTTGGGAAAAGGAAACCAAAAAAAAAGGGCACAGCACTATTCTTGCTCTGCCAGACTTGGCACCATGTCAGAAAAAGAGAAGGGTTGGCTCTCCAGCCCCACTGGCCTTACCTGTCCAGGAGCTCCCAGTCCTCCCCGCCCCAGCGGTCTCTGAACTCCTCCGTGTTCATGCCCCCAACCCGGTCGAAGTCAGATTTGTAGATCCCAAAGAGGCCAAACCCATTCACCTCCCAGTAGCCTGAGAAGGAGGAAAGCCAAGTGACACGTAAGATCTCGGGGGGAGGGGATCGGTGCTGGAGTGGCAGGAGGGGCAAAGAGGCAGAGTGAGGAGCAGGGCTGGATGTCGCAGCACCAAAACCCAGCTAGTCCTGGTCCCCTGCTCCACTGCCTCCCCTCCTTCAAGGCCACACTGCCCTCTCCTGGAAATTGATGGCATCAAGCAGTCCCAAAAGGGCTTTGTCTCTTGGCCTCTAAAACAAGCCCCCCACCTCATCCTCAGAGCAAACCAGTTCCCCTTGCTGGAAGGGACTGACCGTGTGCCCCTGGGGCAGGAAGGAGGATTGCTTCAGGCAACCATTTCACAGAAGCCATCTATTACCTCTCTTCCCCTCCCCCACAAAGCAGGCTGCTCTCCAACAAGGCAGATCCCATACAAGGGCCATATGTATGCAGCACGGGGCAGCTTCAAGACTTCTCCCCACCTCTGCAAAAATGAATCTCTGCCCTCACATGCTCCCTGGTGGTTTGCTCACACTTGACTAGAAGCAAAGCAATTGAAAACCTTCAGGGGTGGGGGAGGGAGGAATTCCTGGATGTTTGGAGCATTATGAACCAAGGAGTTGTTATTCTTGACTACTGATATTCCAGGACTGCCCAGAAGCTCTAGGGCTGGGGCCCTGAGGTGCTGCATGTTGTACAGATGCAGATGAAAAGACAGCACTTGCCTCAGGGAGCCTTGTAAACCTGAGCTTGCAGATGTTGCCAGCGCACTCACCGTCATCTCACTGACATGCTTTCTACTCTCTTTGTGTCACTCACTTCACTACTGCTATCCTCTCAGGCATTTAGGTCTAACTGAACAAGCAACCTCCCTCTGCCAGGTTTGTCAGACAGCATTACAGTTCAGTCCTATAGCACCTGACAGAGTAGATTGCTGTCAATGAAAGCTCATGCCTTTCTGAACCATTAGTCTCCAAGGTGGAGACTTGTCCGAGTGCTCTAGTGACAGCAGAACTGGTCAGAAGGCAGAGACAATCAGAAGTAACAGCAGGACTGAGGACTCCTGGGTTCTACACTGTCTCACTGTGAGCAAACTGTTCACCCTTTTCAAGCCTGTAGGGAGGGGACAGACAGAGCCGGTCTCTGGGGGTTGTATCACACTATCATAATGGTTAGGGTCGAAAGGGACCTAAACAGATCATCAGGTCCAACCCCCTGCCCCAGGTAGGAAGGGGTGCTGGGATCATATCACCCTAGCCAAATATCTGTCCAGCCTCTTCTTGAAGACCCCCAAGGTAGGA